ATTAGGGCTTAATAGTGACTCCCGTCACTAAACTAATCCTGGGTTGTAACCAGACATCTCTCTATAATAACATACAGTATGCCATTTAGCAGACACATTTATGCAAAGTGACTTACAATCATGAATACATTTTTACATATGGGTGGTCCTGGGAATTGAACCAACAAACCCGGCATTGCAAGCACCATGCTCTACCAACTGAGCCATACAGGACTACATAGTTTGTGAGGAGATTACATGATGGGTCTTGTGGATTGGACAGAACTGTGTCAAGATAGAGATGTAGTAACTTGATCACTATCTGTATCATTACCATGTATAGGCCTATAATTCACCCATATGTGATCACGCTCTCCGTAGCCGATGTGAGTAAGACTTTTAAGCAGGTCAACATTCAGACAGATTACCAGGACGTGTACTCTGAGCATGTGCTAACCAACTGGCAAGTGTCTTCACCGACATTTTCAACATGTCCCTGACTGAGTCTGTAATAACAACATGTTTCAAGCAGACCACCATAGTCCCCGTGCCCATGGACACTAAGATAACTTGCCTAAATGACTACCGACCCGTAGCACTGACGTCTGTAGCCATGAAGTGCTTTGAAAGGCTGGTCACGGCTCACATCAACACCATTATCCCAGAAACCTTAGACCCACTCCAATTTGCATACCGCCCCAACAGATCCACAGATGATGCAATCTCTATTGCACTCCACACTGCCCTTTCCCACCTGGACAAGAGGAATACCTACGTGAGAATGCTATTCATTGACTACAGCTCAGCGTTCAACACCATAGTGCCCTCAAAGCTCATCACTAAGCTAAGTATCCAGGGACTAAACACCTCCCTCTGCAACTGGATCCTGGACTTACTGACGGGCCGCCCCCAGGTGGTAAGGGTAGGTAACAACACATCTGCCACGCTGATCCTCAACACGGGGGCCCCTCAGGGGTGCATGCTCAGTCTCCTCCTGTACTCCCTGTTCACCCATGACTGCATGGCCAGGCACGACTCCAACACCATCATTAAGTTTGCCGACGACACAACAGTGGTAGGCCTGATCACCGACAACGATGAGACAGCCTATAGGGAGGAGGTCAGAGACCTGGCCGTGTGGTGCCAGGATAACAACCTCTCCCTCAACGTGACCAAGACAAAGTAGATGATTGTGGACTACAGGGAAAAAAAAGAGGACTGAGCACGCACCAATTCTCATCGACGGGGCTGTAGTGGAACAGGTTGAGAGCTTCAAGTTCCTTGGTGTCCACATCACCAACAAACTATCATGGTCCAAACACACCAAGACAGTTGTGAAGAGGGCACGACAAAGCCTATTCCCCGGAGACTGAAAATATTTGGCATGGGTCCTCAGATCCTCAAAAAGTTCTACAGCTGCACCATCGAGAGCATCCTGACTGCAAGGCACTACAGAGGATAGTGCATACGGCCCAGTACATCACTGGGCCAAGCTTCCTGCCATCCAGGACCTCTATACCAGGCGGAGTCAAAGGAAGGCCCTCAAAATTGTCAAAGACTCCAGCCACCCTAGTCATAGACTGTTCTCTCTGCTACCGCACGGTAAGCGGTACAGAAGTGCCAAGTCTAGGTCCAAAAGGCTTCTCAACAGCTTCTACCCCCAAGCCATAAGACTCCTGAACAGCTAATCATGGCTACCCGGACTATTTGCACCCCCACCCCATCTTTTTACACTGCTGCTACTCTGTTAATTATTTATGCATAGTCACTTTAACTCTACCCACATGTACATATTACCTCAACTACCTCAACTAGCCGGTGCCCCCGCACATTGACTCTGCACCAGTACCCCCCTGTATATAGCCTCCCTACTGTTATTTTATTTTACTTCTGCTCTTTTTTTCTCAACACTTTTTTGTTGTTGTTGTTTTATTTTACTTTTTTATTAAGAAATAAATGCATTGTTGGTTAAGGGCTGTAAGTAAGCATTTCACGGTAATGTCTACACCTGTTGTATTCGGAGCATGTTGCAAATAAAATTGTATTTTATTTTAATTGTGTTTTCTTCATCTCTTCTTAAGATCTTTCAAAAGTAAAGATGTTGTAATCAAGATTGTTTATTTAAAAAAATCGACTTTGAGCGGTTCTGGACCGGTTATGATTGACATTTTTGTGTACATAACGCTCTGTGGACAGCGCAACATTAATTGCTGTACACCCCGTGAAAGGGCTGGTTGTCCCCTTCAGATGCCGCCTCCCACTCTCAATGCTCTCACTAGTTAACACAGCCACAAAGTCACAGGTCCAGTTATTTCCATCATTTCAAGCCCTAAAAAAAATCGCTAACACTTCATTTTAGAACCAGCGACCTTTCGGTTACTGGCACAACGCTCTTAACCACTAAGCTACCTGCCGCCATAGTTATTACAGTGTAACTATGAGTTATGAGTTATTACAATTACCTGCAATACTTGTTACAGTGTAATTACATATGTAAGTACACTGTAATAAGGAACCCTTAAAATTAAGTGTTAGCAAAAAATCAAATATAAAAAATTATCATTTTTGTACTGTGTACTTGACCTTGTGTCCTCAATGGTGACTACATCTCATTAATGTATAACTTTTTTTTTTTTTACCAGAAAGGTGATCTTTTAATATTTTTGTCAGTATAAGCATTACTAGGTATTGTTTATGGCCCTCTCATGATGAATAATTACTTTTGGGTATGTCTATATAGTCTATAACCAGAATGTTCTTGAGAATAACACAAACAAGTCCAACGAGTCTGGAGTTAAAAAAAACATAAAGAGGGATTATGAACACAGGAGCTTTTTGCAGCAATTTAGGAAATGGCTCTTCTAGGTCAAAGGTTGTGAGCTTTATTTACTTGGATGTTTTAGACTATTGGTACAGTAGCCCACTGTCCTCAATCATTCACTAATTTCGGTATATAAAAGTGCCAATATCTAAATTTGAACACAATCGTATATGTTCTGTCTTCTGCTGATCTTTTCTAGCAGGATGGATGGAAATTATAACCAGACAATATCACAGAAATATAATTCGTTTTATTAAAGAGGAGATCACTAGGCCTATAATATTATTCACCATTTGAAAGTTCTATCCTTCTTTGTTTTTTCTAAATAAAGAGCACATAGATCTATGTCCCACTAGTTGTTCGTGTAATTTCTTGTCAACTCATGAAAACATGAGCGGGATGCGTGTCTGGCCAATGGCGGACCGCTTAAGGTGGACTTTCTTTATCAAACGCAAACATCCGAATTGCCAAACCATGAAATGCAGATCGATTTATCTCTCAAATTATACAATGTCCAATTTATCGAATTTGTGTTATGTCAGCATGTGCTGAAGTTAAAGATTACATTGATCACACTCATAATTGAACAATCTGCAAGTTGTGATGTTGGCTCTTCCTTAAAACTGGGCGGTCGTAAGGCTACTGCGGGTAAACTGCTATATAAAAAGCCCTTCACAGATGCTGTGGATAAACCATTTTTCTTCAGCAACAAGGATAGCCTTAACGCGCACAGAAGAATACATTACCAGTTTTCTTGACCAGGTAATGATGGATTGCTTATTATGTTCATGTGACTGTAGACTGGTTATGTCTCCTACATTGTGGGTTGTTTTCATTAGGCCTACTTTGACTGTTTGTCGCATAGCCTGCCCAACACAGATATTACATCATTGGTTTGTCCAGTTACAGAATATTATTTGGATTTTGTGCAGGCATATTTCAACTTTTCGTACCCAACTATATCATTTAAATGTAGTGTTACGTTTGTTGACTAATCTAGTGACAATAAGAAAAATAAACATTTTATGGCACGTTGCCTTTTCTGTTTTCTGCATGTGTGCCTCATGCCTTCACTAGAATTAAACTAGACCAATCCGGTTTAACGCACGCTAGACTACAAGCCCGGTATAGCCTAATGTATCCAAGGATGTTGTCTACTGTAACCATTTTACCGACAAACCATAAAATGAAGATGTTAGGCTACATTTTATCTAATTAAATTGTTGCATTGGTGGCAATTGCTTTAACAATGTCTATGATCAAGCCAACAATTAGACTATAGCGCGATGGGAATGTAACCCCTTATGCCACCCTGGCTCAGATCCGATATATTAGCCTTTCAATTATGTCACAATATTAAAAACGGTTATATTGTAATGTCCATATTTGCCTTAGTGTTTTTGCTGAAAGGTGATTCAATGTTAAATAAAATTGCCATTGTATTCCACCATCGTTTACGCATGTGCATGACACAATGGTTCTTTCCCCTGCCAGTTTCCAGTACACGACACACTGACGTCACGGACAGACGCGCGAGTCTCTTGGCTGCAGTAAGAAAGCCATCGCCATCTGCGCCCATTCAACATAGCCTAGATTTACGTTTTTATTACTTCTAACATACTTTTTGGGGGTTCTCATACGCTTACAATTATGTTTTGATTCTTGCTTTAACAGGCATTTTACTGGTTGAATAGTATTTTAAAGTATGTTGATTGCGGTGACACAAGCATTATATTAAGCAGGACATTCATACGAGCCTTAAAATCCAATTATAATCCAAAAGTAGTGTGAAATGAACTCATAACCATAAATAATTTGTAAATCACTCTGGATAAGAGCGTCTGCTAAATATTTTAGTCATTTAGCAGACGCTCTTATCCAGAGCGACTTACAGTTAGTGAGTGTATACATTTTTATACTGGCCCCCCGTGGGAATCGAACCCACAACCCTGGCGTTTCAAACGCCATGCTCTGCCAACTGAGCTACACGGGGCCCCATGACTTAAATGTAAATGTAGAGGCTTTTTTTGCTGTCATTCTATAAAATCCCCCGTGTTCTGCCACTAACTTGTGCGCATTGCCCTTGTGCTGCAATGTTTGCAAACACAGAAAGGGGTCTATAACATATGTGGTTCGCTGATACTTAAAATACTTAACCAGGCATTGTAAGATCTGGCATGCGTTAGCAACGCCTGGGCAGAGGAACACGCCCAACGTGATAGAGTAGACACAACTGTTCCCAACAACAATTATACTGTTATCTTTCTTTTTTATAAAGAAAATCTAAACTCAACCAACGTCACAATGAGTAAGGACACAGAGGTGGACATGAAGGACGTGGAGTTGAATGAGATGGACCAGGAGAAGCAGCCGATGACAGGCGGGGCAGGGAACGGAGATGCCGGTTCTCCCACCAGCACGGAGAAGAACGGCAGCGTTAAAGTGAAAATCCCTGAGGAGACTGAGACTAAATTTACCGGTCTATCCAAAGAGGAACTCCTCAGAGTCGCTGGAACACCTGCGTAAGAAACAAGACCTGGAAAAAACTGTAGCTCATAACAAAATATAGGTTAACGGATGTTTACAATGCAAAAGTTAGGGTATAATATTGCATTACTAATTCATCTCTCTCCCTCCATCTCCTAAAGGTGGGTCCGGACACGATGGGCCCTTCTGATTCTGTTCTGGCTGGGCTGGCTGGGGATGCTGGCTGGTGCTGTGGTCATCATTGTTCAAGCACCTCGCTGCAAAGACCTTCCTGCCATGAACTGGTGGAATTATGGACCTCTGTACCAAATTGGAGATGTGCAAGCGTTCAGCGAGTCCCAGAATCTGAAGGGTAAGAGTCACTGAAAGGGGTGATGATGAATTACATTTTAGCAGACGCTCTTATCCAGAGCGACTTACAGTTAGTGAGTGCATACATTTTCATGCTGGCCCCCCGTGGGAAACGAACCCACAACCCTGGCGTTGCAAGCGCCATGCGCTACCAACTGAGCTACAGGGGAGACATTTGTGGTGAACCCCACTAGTAGGTCACAGCCAAGTTATATTAAGTAGTACTTTGAGTACAGTACCAGTCAAAGGTTTAGACACACCTACTCATTCGAGGGATTTTCTATTTTTTTCTACATTGTATAATAATAGTGAAGACATCAAAACTATGAAATAACACATATGGAATCATGTAGTAACCAAAGAAGTGTTAAACAAATCAAAATATATGTTAGATTTTAGGTTCTTCAAATTATCCGCCCTTTGCCTTGATGACAACTTTGCACACTCTTGGCATCTCTCAACCAGCTTCATGAGGAATGCTTTTCCAACAGTCTTGAAGGAGTTCCCACATACGCTGAGCACTTGTTGGCTGCTTTTCCTTCCCTCTGCCGTCCGACTCATCCCAAACCATCTCAATTGGGTTGAGGTCGGGTGATTGTGGAGGCCAGGTCATCTGATATAGCACTCCATCGCTCTCCATCTTGGTCAAATAGCCCTTACACAGCCTGGAGGTGTGTTGGGTCATTGTCCTGTTGAAAAACAAATGATAGTCCCACTAAGCGCAAACCAGATGGGAATGGCGTATTGCTGCAGAATGCTGTGGTAGCCATGCTGGTTCAGTGTGCCTTGAAATCTAAATAAATCACTGACAGTGTCACCAGCAAAGCACCATCACACCTCCTCCTCCGTGCTTCACGGTTGGAACCACACATGCGGAGATAATCCGTTCACCTACTCTGCGTCTCACAAAGACACGGGTTGGAACCAAACATCTCAAAAGACCAAAGTCTACATTCCATTGCTCGTGTTTCTTGGCCCAAGCAAGTCTCTTATTGGTGTCGTTTAGTAGTGGTTTCTTTTCAGCAATTCGACCATGAAGGCCTGATTTCACACAGTCCCCTCTGAACAGTTGATGTTGAGATGTGTCTGTTACTTGAACTATGAAGTATTTATTTGGGCTGCAATTTCTGAGGCTGGTAACTCTAATGAACTTATACTCTGTAGCAGAGGTAACTCTGGGTCTTCCTTTCCTGTGGCGGTCCTCATGAGAGCCAGTTTCATCATAGCGCTTGATGGTTTTTGCGACTGCACTTGAAGAAACTTTCAAAGTTCTTGAAATTTTCCATATTGACTGATCTTCATGTGTTAAAGTAATGATGGACTGTCGTTTCTCTTTGCTTATTTGAGCTGTTCTTGCCATGGACTTGGTCTTTTACCAAATAGGGCCATCTTCTGTATATCACCCCTACCTTGTCATAACACAACTGATTGGCTCAAACACATTAAGAAGGAAAGAAATTCCACAAATTAACTTTTAACAAGGCACACCTGTTAATTTAAATGCATTCCAGGTTACTACCTCATGAAGCTGGTTGAGAGTGCCAAGAGCGTGCAAAGCTGTCATCAAGGCAAAGGGTGGCTAAATTAAAGAATGTCAAATATAAAATATATTTTGATTTGTTAAACACTTTTTTTTGGTTACTACATTATTCCCTATGTGTTATTTCATAGTTTTGATGTCTTCACTATTATTCTACAATGTAAAACTAAAGAAAAACCCTTGAATGAGTAGGTGTGGTCAAACTTTTGACTGGTACTGTATATGAAACCACATAGACTGGGTGGGATTACTGAGTGAGGTTCTGGGGACACTGAAATTGGGTCTCTGGTGATAGTGTGTGTGTTGGGGAGGGGTCTGACGCGGTGTCTAGACATGATATTACATGAGATAAAATACATATGCTTTAGCAATTCCATGTGTGCGCTATAGGAGCATTGAGGTCAGATGTATTGCACATGAACACGTTTCCCACTCCAGTGACTCCGCTCTGGGGGATGGAGCCTGCTGAACCAGCATAATCCAGTTTCTTCCCCTGTCCCCTCGCTACACCCTCACTGACTGGTTTGGCAGGTTTCTTGTTTGGGGGTATTAGTCACACCAGGAACTGGGCTACACAATGACTGTGGAACTTTTTTGTGGGAGCACAGCTATTACCGCCAGTTACTATTCACTTGATAGGGCTTTATAGAAAATGAGATTTACATAAAGATGGCAATGAAAATATATATATATTTTTTTTTAAATTCTTTTTACAAATGAGATTTAAAATCCATACTGAAGGGGTTGCTCTCCCTAATTCAGCAGTGTTATTAATTATACATGAATGACCACTTTTAGTAAGCAGTTTTCTAATGTGTAACAGGTGTGGAGGAGAAGCTTGACAGTCTGGGCCAGCTGAAGGTGAAGGGACTGGTTGTTGGGCCCATCCATGTTGCCCCTGCAGACAACCTTGAGAGCCTGAAATTTGAGGAGATATCCAATGACGCTGGCAATCTGGAACAGTTCAAAGGCCTCATTATAGCTGCGCACAAGAAGAGTGAGTATAGTCCCTCTTTATAGGGGCTTCATTTATACACTATTTCAATCGTTGTCTCCTGAAACTGCTCATTGGTTGGGCAGTGGTCTGTTGAAGTTCAGATGGACTAACTCTCGCCCCTCTCTGACAGGCATCAATGTGATCCTGGATCTGACTCCCAACTATCTGGGAAGCGGACCATGGTTCTCTAACGTCAGTGTCACCAACGTTGCTGAGAGACTGAAGGTAAGAGTTCGGCGCATCTCTTCTCAGTGAACTCATTAAATCCACTCCTAATCAGTCCCAACAATGTATTTGCGTGTATCTATCTAATAATGTGTGAACCCTCTCTCCGTCCAGTCTGCGCTGGTGTTCTGGTTGAACCAAGGTGTGGATGGGATCCAGCTGTCTGGTGTAGAGCGCGTGGCCAGCATGGTTCCATCTCTTTGGGCTGACATTCGAGCCATTGTCCAGAATGGGACTGAGGAGGGAAAGAGAAGGTGAGTACATGTCCACCATTATGTACATCACACTCAGAACTCAACTGGGCCTCTCAGTAGATTGTTATGCATGGGAGCCACCTGGCGGTTTAGTGACAGTATTGTGTTTCCATAAAATTTTCGTCCTCCACAAAATGGCTATTGGCTAACTTGTGCCCTCTAGTGGTGTAAATTGCACTGACTGCTGCTGAGAAGAAAGCTGATACTTTATCTTAATTCTATTACAATGGGTACATTGTGTGACTTGTGTAGATAACATTCATTGAGGAAAGGAATGCATTTTTTTGTTTCTTGCTCAGGATTCTGATTGGAGTGACTGCAAGGACCTCTGCTGTTGAAGTCTCTGAACTGCTGAACTCCACTGGGGTGGACCTACTCCTATCCGGGGCCCTCAGGTCTAAGACCATGACCGCTTTGGATCGCGCTCAGACTGTCCAGCAGCTGCTCTCCTCCCACAACCAGACCAAGCTAGCCTGGAACATTGGGGACAGGAAGGAGGGTCACCTGGCCACACTGGTGGGCCCAGACAAGGTCAACTTCAACCAGATGCTCTTGCTGACGCTGCCCGGAACCCCAGTGTTCAACTATGGGGATGAGATTGCCCTGGCTGATGAGGTGAGCAGGGGGTTTCCATAACTAATGTATCACAAAACAAATAACAGCTTTAGCCTTGGAGAAATGTGTCATACTTTTTAAAAGGATATATTTTCTTGATTTTTACTGGTGTTAATTGTTCTATAACAGGATACAAAGTTCCCTAAGATGCTGTGGGATTCCCTGGATGATGAGGAGACAAATGGAACTGCTAAGGTAAGTGAGATGCTAATGCATACACATTATGCATTATGTATGTGTATAAAAATACACATACACTAATGCACATCAGATTCATTCTGATTAAAAAAAATACAACTGTTGGCAAAGCAAGGAAATTCATGTTTAATTCTTACCACCCTCAGAAGGAGAAAGAACAGAGGCTCGCCTGCCGTTCCTTCTTCAAGACACTGAGTGACCTGCGTGGAAAAGAGCGTTCCCTGCAGCATGGGGACTACATTCCCCTTTTCAACTCCACCTCTGCCCTGGCCTACCTCCGCCAGTGGGACCAGAGTGGGCGCTACATCGCTGCCTTCAACTGGGGCAGTGACGCGGTGACCCTTCAGCTGGCCCACCCTGACCGGCCTGCTCAGGCTGTGGTCCAGGTGAGCACAGACAAGGCCAACCTGGCCCCCGACAGTGCCGTTGAGCTCTCTGCACTGGAGTTGGGCCCGGGCCAGGCTGTCCTGCTACAGTTCCCCTACGTAGCCTAGAGAGGGGGGAGATCCCAGCACCATCTGTATGTGGGCATTGATGTTAAAGTAGTTGTCTCTCCGTGGTGAACATTTTTAAAATCACTTATGCTAGTTATTTTTTTAGGGCATTCTGTTACTTTTTTTTTATGTCTGAAAAATAGTTACTGTATCATTCACACTGATACTTCTGGTCAAAGAATTTTAGCTTAGAAAATAGTAACTGCTGTGAATTAATTCTGTATTCTAGAATACGGTGTTGTCTGACATACAAACACAAATGTCCTCATCGCAAGCACCAGTCAAGCCTCTGCAACCATCTGTCTATCTTGCTGTTACTGAAAATACATTCCAGACCATGAAATACCATGATTGATTTTAGCATTTTAAAAGTTTGTATTTTATGTACTTTTTTTTTAGTTGCTTTTGGGGGGCTTGGTTGCTCCCTTACTAAAATGTTGTAATTGTGTTCAAAAGTAATGCCCCTCTCCTTTCTCACGTTTCAAGAAGTCTCTGATGTTATGATTGCTTTTGCAGCTGAGGGAAGTGAAGAACACATCAAAGGTGGAGGGGCTGAAACTCTTTCATCATACTAAATGAAATTGCCATGATATAAAACAGGGGAAATAAATCAAACTGAATACAACCCTTACTAGTCTGTTATATTTAGGCTAGCAATGTTGTGTGAAATCTAAACCCTAGATTAGACATTAAAGCTAGCCCTCTATCCACTCTACAAACTTCAGACTTCCACCCAGGACCAGGTGCACTTGAACGTCTCTTGGTATCTTTATTTATAGATATCCATAGTGCATGGGGGGAGCTCTGTCTCACCTGACTATGTGAACACTTATTAAAAATGTATATGCAAACCCTGGGGGAGACACCTCTATAGACGGACACAGTGACTGCTGCTGTTTGCACCCACAGAAGTGGATTATGAGATGGTGGTTGACTAAACATAAGAACATAATATATGCATTCAAGAGTATAAATGTGTGATAAAAATGCACTCTATTTAGCTGGGACAATCTATTTGTTGATCAGTCTAGGATGGAAAAGCCTCTGTGGGAGGAACAATCAATGATGACGTTCAAGCCATACGACTGCCATTGGCCTAGTTGATTTTGGATTTCCATCAGAAATTGGGAAAGGTTATCCTTCGTACACTTTACGTGTAATGGTTCTAAATTTAGCTGCTTGACACAATGCTCGCAAGGTCACAAAAACCTACACTATACTACTAGTGATGTGTGGTTGATTTTCTTAGTGTATAAACTACTTCACCTCTTGTATCACATAAACCCTCATTCAGAGTTTATAAAACACTAGCAAACTACCCCTTACTATAAATGTGGGTTCACAATGGCCTCCAAGACACTATCCTGGGTTTTCATGGTGCAGACTGGTAGAATAGTGAAAAGCATTGTACAGTTGAAGTCAAGGTTACATACACCTTAGCAAAATACATTTAAACTCAATTTTTCACAATTCCTGACATTTAATCCTAGTATAAATTCCATTGTCTTAGGACAGTTTGGATCACCACTTTATTTTAAGAATGTGAAATGTCAGAATGATAGTAGAGAGAATGATTTATTTCAGCTTTTATTTCTTTCATCACATTCCCAGTGGGTCAGAAGTTTACATACACTCAATTAGTATTTGGTAGCGTTGTCTTTAAATTGTTTAACTTGGGTCAAACATTTTGGGTAGCCTTCCACAATAAGTTGGGTGAATTTTGGCCCATTCCTCCTGACAGAGTTGGTGTAACTGAGTCAGGTTTGTAGGCCTCATTGCTCGCACACGCTTTTTCAGGTCTGCCCACACATTTTCTATAGGATTGAGGCCAGGGCTTTGTGATGGCCACTCCAATACCTTGACTATTGTTTGTACAGATGAACGTGGTACCTTCAGGCATTTGGAAATTGCTCCTAAGGATGAACCAGACTTGTGGAGGTCTACAATTTATTTTCTGAGGTCTTGGCTGATTTATTTTGATTTTCCCATGATGTCAAGCAAATATGCACTGTGTTTGAAGGTAGGCCTTGAAATACATCCACAGGTACACCTCCAATTGACTCAAATGATGTCAATTAGCCTATCAGAAGCTTCTAAAGCCATGACATCATTTTCTGGAATTTTCCATGCTGTTTAAAGGCACAGTCAACTTAGTGTATGTAAACTTCTGACCCACTGGAATTGTGTCATGCAGAAAGTAGATGTCCTAACCGACTTGCCAAAACTATAGTTAGTTAACAAGAAATTTGTGGAGTGGTTGAAAAACAAGTTTTAATGACTCCAACCTAAGTGTATGTAAACTTCCGACTTCAACTGTATATATATATATGCTTTTGAATGAATGTCTGATATAAGCACAACACAGATCTCATAATGGTTGTAGTTGTCATGTAAGGATGAGTGATGGAAATGGGGGGTGTTTAGGGGAGAATGCATCAGGGCTGACACCAGATCTGCTGCACACAAGTTTCCGCAGAGCGATGAGGACACATTGACGCTGAGAGCAGTGAGATCTTAAAAGGGGGCCTCTTTGCTTCTTCTTTTTCTGCCTGTCTGATTTTCTGTGTCAGGTAGTCCTGAGGGTTCTAACTGTCAACCTTCCTTCCAGGAAATCCAAAGGGGTTTCTAGCTCTGCGTTTGTCTACCTCAAACTCTTCTTTTTCTTAATTGGGGTCAAATTTGCTCTAAATTAAGCTGGTAACATGTGTTAATGAGTTGGACTTCAAAACCTACAAGAACAGCAAGATCTTAGAATTTCTCAAATTGTTCTCTCGACATGCAATACAGGTATAAATGTATGCACTCACTAACTGTAAATCACTCTGGATAAGAGCGTCTGCTAAATGACTAAAATGTAAAATGTATTCCATCGCTAAACAGGGCCCTTCTACTATAGAAAAAATAAGGGGTGTACTGTTTGCAACATTGGTCACTTCAAAATGCATAGGCCTATGTGCAATTATTTGAATTAATCCAGTCCAGATGATTGCTCTGAAGAAACATTGGAACTCTGCAAACTACAGTCAGGTTGAAGTTGAGCTACAATAGGTTTCCCAATAGCAATGTTAGGCTTACTATGCAATATGACTAGGCTATTCAGAATCGTGTATGATTCTTGGACATTAAAACATTATGCTTTTGATCCCAATTTGTAAATTCAGCCAAGTGTTTCTGTGGTTTTAAAGATTTTAACAGCCTCTCCACTCCCTGCGAGGACTCCCTGACGCATTGCAGGTAGCTGAAAACCAATCTAGTCCCGTTTACTGGGTCAGCTGATGTACGCCATTGCTCAGTGTGTCCCATATAAAGTCGCTGGGTATCTCAATCAAACATAGACATGAGCGAGTTTACATTCCCAAAGAGAAGGGAAACAGAGCTTGAGCATTATTGTGTAGTTAAAGTGTTGAAATACGAAAATTGTCCATGATTGGATACTTTAAAACGGCACTTTTTAGTAAAGAATAGAAGGATAGTCCTGGTTGCAGATAAATCCAATTTGTGTCGCTCTATTTTTACTCTATTCGGCGCACGGACACCATAGTGACAGCCGAGTTGCTAGGGAGTGCAGCGTCCGGATTGAAATCTAAACCGAAGCGGAGTGATAATCAACTTGAAGCGGCAAAGAGCGCAAGGCGCGGATGACTGTGTGGAAAATTTGATTATCATATCTACAAACGCGAAATTGTTAGCTATATCAAATCAACATAGCTAGTTAGCAACATCACAACATGGTAAGTTCCCTTTGCTGTACATTTCCGATTAAATTAATATTTTGGATTCATAGAATTGCCTCAACATATGCATGTGTAGCCATATATCTCTCTCTAGGCTAGCTAACGTTAGCTAGCTAAATGTTTGTTGGCTAGCTTGCTTTTTAACTGGACGATTGATTAGCTAGCTAGTTAGCCACAGCCAGCACGGCAGACTTGTTGGTTACAAACATTACGATGGCTAACGAGCTACAGTACCGTTACGTTAACTAGCTAGACATCTGCGTCAATCACTAATTTAGCTAACGTTAGCTAGCTAAAGTCAGTTGTGTCCGACATATGCAGCCAGCTAACGTTACTGTTAGCTAGCCAACTTCGCCACGCATAGGAAACAAGCTAACTAGCTGGTTAGCTAACGTTAATAGTTAGCTATGGCTGTTTGTCAACACTACACTATTGTTGGTTTTGTCACTATCGTCTTTGCTCGACATTTACCTTCAATAGTAGGCTAACTAACTACATGTAGTTTGTCATTAACTACCTAGTTTTGTGTCGCTAACTAGCCTACTTAGGCCTATCCTTAAGTTTTGATAATGCGCTAACGTTAGCAGGATGAGCTGGGGTGGCATATGCAGTTTATGGCTAGTAGTGTCTAGCTAACGTTAGTTGGGTTCCTCAAAGTCAACGTGTTGTGATTTTAGACAGCTAACTAACGATATCTGCTTAAATGTGTTCCTAACTAGGTGAAGTAACATTACTTGAATGTTGATCTGGTTAATTTCAGACCGGATATCCCCAGATTAAATGCGTTGCTTTCTAGCTAGGGCACTGTGCGGTCGCCTGATATAATATTGCACCAAATATGGTGCAGGACGGTCTAATTTGACATAACATCACTTGCTAACAAACTAAAGATACGGTAATACAACTGAAGAGGGACGGATAGGCATACGTTCTACATCACAAGTAACTAGAGGTAGTTAGATTTTATATTTTGTAGTTAATTTTTATGTAGCCTAGGACAAAATATGGGAATTAACTATTGGGTTATGTTATGGGTGGCATTTGAAAGAAATGAGTAGAAATTTCTTAAAGTGCAAGAAAGGGAGAATCCAAAATCAAATGGTGTCATTCACAATTGTGTTGTACTTTCAGGCAGATCAACTGACAGAGGAACAAATCGCTGGTAAGATGGCCATTTTTGCTCAAACATGACCAAGGTGTCAAGATGTTTAAGTCTATATTACACGGATGCTTTATTGTCACATACATTAGATAGGTGCAGTGAAATGTGTTGTATTATGGAAGTGTAGACTGGAGACAATCTACATTTTTCATCCAGAGTTCAAAGAGGCGTTCTCGCTGTTTGATAAGGATGGAGATGGCACCATCACCACCAAAGAGCTGGGCACCGTGATGCGCTCGCTGGGACAGAACCCCACAGAGGCCGAGCTGCAGGACATGATCAATGAGGTGGATGCTGATGGTGAGACACACGAATGCTCTCCATCTCTCTCCCCCAAATGAACACACACACACACAGGCTATGCACACAACGGAGGGTTTTGATAACGTTCTGATGCAATATCTGATGATTGGGATGAAAGACCTACATTGTAAGAATCATTGTTTTCCTCCTGTGAAATAATTTTGCTTTGTGATCCACAGGAAATGGAACCATTGACTTCCCCGAGTTCCTGACCATGATGGCGAGGAAGATGAAGGACACCGACAGTGAGGAGGAGATCAGAGAAGCCTTCAGAGTCTTCGACAAGGTCAGCCAAACTGGGGAATGGCAGATTTGAGACTGTTCAAATGTCTTACAGCCAGTCATAGCACTTCAAATATTAACCAATGGGTTCCATCACTCCCATTGGATATGTCTCAAACCTCTCCAGAGTTGACCAAATTCATGATTATTTGACATTCAATATTTAGGAAATACTCAGTAATACGATCTGCATGGTAGTTAACACTAAACTCAAACTGTCTCTATTGTGTTGCAGGACGGTAACGGCTATATCAGTGCTGCAGAGCTACGTCACGTTATGACAAACCTCGGTGAGAAACTGACAGACGAGGAGGTGGACGAGATGATCCGGGAGGCTGATATCGATGGAGATGGACAGGTCAACTACGAAGGTCAGTTTCCGCATCTTCTCTATCTAGTCTCAAACTTGTGTTAACCAGGAAATTGGAAATCAGTCAGACAATTGGCCATACACAAGCCATGAAATGTACAAAATGAATGCTGTCAAACCAGATTTAATCCATTCAACAACATGCATTCTAGCTTGCCTTGTTTTGTTGTCGTCATAGCAATATTTCTTAACAGGTTGTTTTAGGTATTCATTCTGCAGTTAGACAACATTGTTCGCACCTTTGTTTGGTCAAAACGGAAGATTTGCTGTTGTCACTTGTTACAGTAAAAAGGACAATTATTTTAACCATCACATCCCCTTTGATCATATGTGTTGATCATCCTTCTGTTAGATGTATTTCCTAGTGTCCGTTTTCTGTAATTGATTATACTGTTTATTATAAATAGGCAAGAATTGACAAAGAATTTCAGTGCAGATGATATTGCAGTAATCAAATGTAAATGTTTGGTGAATGGCTCCATTATTATGAACTGTGTGCGCAGACGGGGCAAACTGGAACATGCTATGCTCATGAAAGGGTTCAACATTGAAAAGCATAATGAATGGCATGCAACTGGGTGCAGAAATACATTTGATCTTCACATTAAGATATCCAAGTGTCCTCCTCAGTCATGCTCTCCACCATCATTAGAGGTGTGGATAATTGAGCTGAATAACAGAACACAGCTCTGATTTAAGCTCCCAAATGGGTATCAATCTTTTATTTTGTTTTACTTTACATTAGTCTCAATATGATCAGGCCCAATCCCAGAATTCCACACAAGGCCAAACCCAGCTGTTCATGTGTTCCTCTAGTCTGTCGAACTTGTCAGCTTAGACACAAGTAGTATCCTACAGAATGGAGAACCATTTGCCAATCGTAACTTGTGGCCTCCCTCCCTCCAAATGTTGTTTCCAATCTTGTCTTTCAGAATTTGTGCAAATGATGACTGCAAAATAAAACCAGAAACCCAAAGGACCCCTTCACCACACAAGACCAAACAGTGGGCAGCACTCTGTCAACACTCAACACCCATTCACAACCATCGTCTTATTTTTTTTGCTTTGCGTTTGGTTGCTTTGCCCCTTGGCCATTTTGCTTGATTCAGGCTCATCTGTGTAAGCTGAGTGTTTCCTTTCATTATTCCGCTACATATACTAATGGTGTCTGAACAAGTGAACAATATTTTTAAGCTAAAATGTATACGCAAAGAGAAGTGCATGCTTTATTTCTTTGGGAATGTTTTTGTGCTTCTCTGCTTGCATCCTTTTTCTGTTGTGCTCGCACCCCTTTATTACATGGCCTATTCTCATGCAACTTACGGTTGTAGATATTTGTCATCTTTTAGACGTGCACAGGATGACCAGGATGGGAGATGACAGAATTTTAACAAAACAAACCCTAATGTATTTCCATGTGTATATGCGCATGTTTGGTGTATGTGTTTTTAATATTTGTAACAATATTATGTTTCTTTGAAATTGTGGCATTACATAAATAATTTATATTTAAACATATGACCTGACTTAAATGCATGCTTACAAACTCATGATTAGTTGGCTGCAAAGATAACTGTTTGGGTGTCGCAAACATGGTTGTACAAAGACCCCCAGTGCAGTGCTGTATGCGTTTCTCCAGTCTTATGTCCTGACATTACAACATTTATTCAACTGTTATTTTAACATTTTCTTATACTAGAGCAGGTATGTTCAGCACCACCACAGTCTTGTTTGACATGACAAACTATGCCATTTTAACAATCAATGAATTCAGTTGAAATGTACATTTCACTTATGTGTAAAGATTTAAGGCATGACTTGTTTTGACAGTAAGTACAGAGTGAGGGCAAAAGTGGCCATTAACTTCAACCCTGCTTTGTGTACTATTAGGATATTCATTGCCCAAGCAAATGCCACTGTTGTGGTTTTAAAGGAACCCCTGTTTTAAGAACATTTTCCTCACCTGTCCTGTTTTTAAATGTCACTTGTGGAAGGGTGAATCCAAGTTGTTTGTCTGCTGGTTGTGGTTTTGTACCTAACTTGTGTGTATGTGATTGAAGTCACGGTCTGTTGTAGCTGCACTATGCGTCCGACCACACCATATTGCATATTCAACTCTACCACCTTTCATATTGGCATCCATATTTCAGTTTCCCCCCTCCCATACTTTTTTACTGTCATTAATGTTATTTTCTTTCTGTTCATGATCTTTGTCTCATTTTTGAAGACTTTGCCAGTTTAGCTGTCATGTTCTCTTTCCCCTGCCCTTTAAAGTTGTAAGTTGTTTGGGGAGAATGAGAGATTATGCATTCCATTGCTGAACTCATGTCAGTTTTTCTTGCTAATTAAACTCTTTGACCAGTCTTTCTATACCAAGACTCCAGTCTTTCATTATCCTCATACTGTGCAATGAAAGCAAGTGTTTGACAATGCTATCAAGAATATGGTCAGACAGTATTTTACTTTTTGTCGCTGTATTCTTTCAAGTTGTAACAATAACTCAATGTTTAGTTGCACATTTGCAGAACTTAGAATTGGCTATGTTTATTGTACAATAAAGGGGATACCTAGTCAGTTGCACAACCAAAATGTGTCTTCTGCATTTAACCCAACCCCTCTGAATCAGAGAGGTGCGGTAGTAGTGTATCTTGTGTAATGGTCTATACCTAGTTGAAATCAATGATCTATGTCTATTGGCTATGGTTGACAATGAAGACCAAACCCTAGATTGCTGATGCTATGTATTGGCCAATGAGAGGCTTTAAAGCCACCGGTCAGCCATATTGGCACCTACCATAACCCTAAACTTAACACTTTTAAATTTCAACTTCAAATGGGGTAGGGATGTCCCAAGGATCCCGGATAGCACGTACCCCCTAAAAGAAGCAGTCCTCCATAGACCTGTTGGTTGTCGCAACTATGGGGCAAAACAGACGGGGTTGGCTTAGACTTGACAACATGTAAACTATTCTCAATGTTTATTGAACACATAAATACATTGTCACAATGAGTGCTTGTCTCAAATACATTGTTACAGTTGTTGGTTAGCTAGCTAGTGGATCTGAGCCATATTAGTGTAGACATGACATCAGTCTCAACAAGACATGGACGAAACGAGACACGATTCCCCACATGGCATATTCTTGTAATTGTCGCTAGCTATCTGACTGTTCAGAAATAATAATGCACACCTTCCGCGTGCATAATTGGTGACATTGTCAGCCAACCCTTCTATAGGAATGAATGGAATTCTGCAGTATTTCAACTAAATGTTTCAAGGACAACATTTTATTGGAGTGGGGACATAAATTATACTTGAAGAAAAATGTTTACATTCTATTTTGTTTAGCTCAAATAATATGTAAAAGTATGCATTAATTGTCCGTCTTTAGCAGAACAAATGTGGCCATTAATACATGCATTTCTTTAGCAATGCTGTGGGAGTGCCAAGATGGATGCGTGGTGGCATTAAAACAGCACCCCTTGTCAGTACCGGTGCGCCTGGACCTTCTACCATACCCAGTTCAAAGGCACTTAAATATATTGCTAAAATATATTAAGTATCAAAAGTAAAAGTATAAATCCTTTCAAATTCCTTATATTAAGCAAACCAGATGGCACCATTTTCTTGTTTTATTTTTATTTTTTAATGGATAACCAGGGGCTATCTTCTCCAACACATGGACATAATTTACAAACGAAGCCTGTGTGTTTAGTGAGTCTGCCAGATCAGAGGCAGTAGGGATAACTAGGGACGTTCTATTAATAAGTGCGTGAATTGGATCATTTCCCTCTCCTGCTACAGTATCTCACAAAAGTGGTCGTCTTGTAGGTGTGTTTGGGGTCGTTATCATGTTGGAATACTGCCCTGCGGCCCAGTCTCCGAAGGGAGGGGATCATGCTCTGCTTCAGTATGTCACAGTACATGTTGGCATTCATGGTTCCCTCAATGAACTGTAGCTCCCCAGTGCCGGCAGCACTCATGCAGCCCCAGACCATGACACTCCCACCACCATGTTTGACTGTAGGCAAGACACACTTGTCTTTGTACTCCTCACCTGGTTGCCGCCACACACGCTTGACACCATCTGAACCAAATAAGTTTATCTTGGTCTCATCAGACCACAGGACATGGTTCCAGTAATCCATGTCCTTAGTCTGCTTGTCTTCAGCAAACTGTTTGCGGGCTTTCTTGTGTATCATCTTTAGAAGAGGCTTCCTTCTGGGACGACAGCCATGCAGACTAATTTGATGCAGTGTGCGGCGTATGGTCTGAGCACTGACAGGCTGACCCCCCACCCCTTCAACCGCTGCAGCAATGCTGGCAGCACTCATACGTCTATTTCCCAAAGACAACCTCTGGATATGACGCTGGGCACGTTCACTCAACTTCTTTGGTCGACCATGGCGAGGCATGTTCTGAGTGGAACCTGTCCTGTTAAACCGCTGTATGGTCTTGGCCACCGTGCAGCAGCTCAGTTTCAGGGTCTTGGCAATCTTCTTATAGCCCAGGCCATCTTTATGTAGAGCAACAATTCTTTTTTTCAGATCCTCAGAGAGTTCTTTGCCATGAGGTGCCATGTTGAACTTCCAGTGACCAGTATGAGGAAGTGTGAGAGCGATGACACCAAATTTAACACACTTGCTACCCATTCACACCTGAGACCTTGTAACACTAACGAGTCACATGACACCGGGGAGGGAAAATGGCTAATTGGGCCCAATTTGGATGTTTTCACTTAGGAGTGTACTCACTTTTGTTGCCAGCGGTTTAGACATTAATGGCTGTGTGTTGAGTTATTTTGAGGGGACAGCAAATTTACACTGTTATACAAGCTGTACACTCACTACTCTACATTGTAGCAAAGTGTCATTTCTTCAGTGTTGTCACATGAAAAGATATACTCAAATATTTACAAAAATGTGAGGGGTGTACTCACTTTTGTGAGACACTGTAAGCATTCAAAACGTACCAAGTACTTTTGGGTGTCAGGGAAAATGTATTGAGTAAAAAGTACATTATTTTCATTAGTAATGTAGTGAAG